AAGTATGGAACATCCTCTTTTTTTTTTGGTGCTGGATGGACACTCCTCCAAAGGAAACAAATTTCAAGGTCATTCTTTTTGACCTTCATGCAGTAGGTAGTTACCCACGTCTTCAAGAGCATAAACTCAGACTAATGTATCTGAATTGGTGGTTTGGCTTAAGTTATTTTGACATTGTTCAGAGTTTTCTGAAATTGTGATTTGTGCACAATGCTTTGTAACTCATAGTGCTGTGTAGGTTGTACAGCGGCTAGACAACTTTGTCTACTTGCTGTTGTAATATTTAGATCTTTAGTGTGCATAATACAATGAAGTGCTCCGTGAGAGGTATGAGAACTGTTGTCCAGTAACTACCACTGTGATTAACTGCTTGACTGACAGTCCTGAAACCCACAGACACTAGATTGGAACATGCTGGGAAGATGAACGGCTCGAGGAGCAGTGTGTACATTGGGTGTTAGAGTGTGTGTGTAAGATTATGATGAGGCATAGTGAGCTGTGTTGAGGCAAATAGCTCTGCCGAATATTCAGCCGGGGAAATGTTTATATTAGTCTGTGATTAACACCGTCCAGGTGCTCTCTTGGCCGTGGCGGCCGCTGCTGCTTCAAACACTCACGCATTTTCTCTGTGGCTGGCTGCAGTCATCTATATTTACACACTGAACTGTTGACCACCATTTATTCTATGAACGTCTCATAAATGGTTCTTCTTCGAAGATATAAATGCATTGGAGGTTGGGGGAGGTGTGTTGAAATTCCACAATGGAAAACCGTAAGTCGTTGTGTGTTTCTATAGTGTGACAGTGAGGTTGGTGAGGGACTGTTTCATAGACTGATACTGCAGACACCGTTCTGTGACAGTTCTGAGTTTTCATTAACCCTATCTCCTCCAGTCTAGACAGGAAGGCCCCAAACCAAAGCAAATAACCACTTGCACTGTCATCCCAGTTATTCCAGCATGTGTGTACAATTTAAACTGGATGTATGTTTCGACCGTTACTCTGAATCTAACGAAAGCTTATTCATTGGAATTTTCAAACGTTTTTGGAATTTAGGTGTCTAGCTTTGAGATTTGTGCCATGGTGTAAAATTAATATCAGGAAACACTTCCTGTAGAGGTGGAACCAATGGATTGTTCTGATAGACCTTTGAAAACTGGCGACTCCGGTAAGAGAGTAAAGGGCTCAGAGAGTCACATCCAAAAAAGCTTTAATGCAGTGTCCTTTTGCCATTTTTGGCAGGGCTGTAGACTTGGTAAGTAATGCCGGATAAACTGTACCCAAAAGTGATCGGCTAAAATTTGGCTGTGTCGCCACCGTCTTCTCCCTAACAGATCACTAGATGAGTAGATTGCTTGTGGGAGTGAGGCATCCCGACGACCCATCAGTAACAGATTCGGTGTGACAGGGTCTGGGTCGGCAACATCTGATGAAACGTAACCGAGTGGCTTAGAGTTGAGGATTCCCTCGACCTCTACCAACACTGTATGCAAGACTGCTTCAGTCACTGTTCGATTGCCCAAGACTACCCGAAGAGCAGTTTTCACCGACCGTACCTCTCGCTCCCAGGTTCCTCCAAAGTGTGGAGCATGTGGAGGGTTAAACTGGAAAGCAATTTCCTGGCCGGCTAGATGTTCTTCAAGTGGACCTTGTAACGATGCGAAGACTTCCTGGAGTTCAGTGGCTCCTCCTCTGAAGTTTGTGCCTCTATCAGCCAGTATCTCATATGGCTTACTACGACGTGATACAAATCGTCTTAACGCCATCAGGAAGGCATCCGTGTCCATGATCTCTAAAAGATCAAGATGTATGCAACTTGTTGTCATACATTTGAATATGATGCCCCAGCGCTTCTCTGTGCATCTGCCTATCTTAATAGTGAAAGGGCCAAAACAGTCTATACCAGTGGACCAGAAAGGTGGTTTGTACAGTCTTAGTCATGAGGGGGGCAAGTCTGCCATCTTCGGAATTACTGGACTTGCTCTCCACTTTTGACAAGTCTCACAATTGTACTGGTGTTTCTTGATGGATTCTCTGCCACGCAGGATCCAGTACTTGCGTCTGATTTCACCTAAGACCCGTTCTGGACCTGGATGCAGAAGCTGGTTGTCATATTCTTTGATTAAGAGCATTGTAATCTGATGTTTAGGGTCTAGTATTATGGGATGTATTGTGTCTGGATCTAGGCCCTCAGCTCGGCGGAGTCGTCCCCCGACTCGGATTAAGTCAAGTTTTTGATCATACTCAGCGGAAAGTGAAGCAAGACGACTCTGGGCAGATATGGATTTACCTTTGGTCAGCGCGGCCACCTCTTCTGGGAAGCTGTCCCTCTGAGCTTGTCTTAACAGGTGTAGTTCAGCTGCTATGGCATCTGCTGCAGTCATGATAGCAGCCGCCCCGTGCAGGGACTGGTGAGTAGCCTTCAACAGTTCTTTCCAACTCTTAATATTGGAGATGTCAGGTTGAGACTTGACAAGACATGCATTTCCACAGAATGATTGATTTTTCAGCTCATCACGGTCATCAGGAGCTGCTAATTCAGGCAGGGATGGCCAGGTGTTGGGATGTTGATGGAGGAACAGTGGTCCTTGACTCCAGCGCAGAGATTTGCTCAACTCTAACAAAGTCTTCCCCCTAGTCAGGTTATCGGCTGGGTTATCGGTGGTATTGACATATCGCCAATTTGACCCTAAAGTCTTGTCCTGGATTTCAGCGATGCGTGTCCCAACGAAGACTTTGTAGCGACAGGAGTCTGATCTCATCCAGCTCAGGACTGTTGTTGAATCGGTCCATAGAATAATATCACTTGCAGGAATAGACAGCTCTTTACTTAGCAACTTTGCCAGCTGCGCTCCTGTGAGAGCTGCACAAAGCTCCAAACGGGGCATTGATATCTGTTTGCGGGGAGCCACTCTGGACCTTGCCATCACAAAGGCTACATGGATCTGGTTTTGCTGATCTTGAGTGTGAAGGTAAGCGACCGATCCGTATGCCCGTTCAGAGGCATCACAGAAGATATGGATGGTTCTCTGTGTGCCTTTTGTGTCAGCATATGGTGGTATGTATGCTCTGGGTATCTCAACAGTGTGCAAATTGGCTAGTTCGGCCTCCCAGGCTTGCCATTGTACTAACAGGCTTTCCGGGTGGATGATGTCATCCCAACCAATCTTGAGTTTCCAGAGATCTTGAATCAGTATTTTCGCTTTTGTTGTGAAGGGTATAAGATATCCAAGTGGGTCGTACTGTGTAGCCAGTACTTTGTACACGTTTCGTAGTGTGGGTTCAGAGTAGTCAACTTGGCGATGTTGGTATCCAAGGTGGTCAGTGAGACAATTCCAACGGAGACCTAAAGCTGGCTCTTGTGGGTCTGAACTGTGTTCCGAAAGCCACAGTTCAGTGCTGGCTGCTCTGGCTTCAACTGGAAGGTGTTCTACTCCAGCAGGTACATTACTGGCCCACTGGCGAATTTCAAACCCACCAGAAGACAAATGACTGCGCATCCTGTCGATGAGGTTACGGGCCTTCTCTGGGGAGTCAAGACTCTGCAAACAGTTATCAACGTAGAATGGCTGTTCTACAGACCTTTGAACATCCTCGTAGCCTTCACTGTTGTCTTTCACATGTCTTTGTAGCGTATATGTGGCACAACAAGGACTGCAGGTAGTCCCAAATGGGAGAACCTGCCACTCAAAGACACTTGGCTCTTCGTCCCTCTTCATGTCCCTCCAGAGGAAGCGTAACAGTGAGCGATCTTCTGTCAAAAGTCTGATCTGGTGGAACATTGCTTTAATGTCTCCACTGATAGCCACTGTGTGCTCACGAAACCGGAGTAAGACACCAAGAAGGGAAGGACCCAGGATGGGACCAGGAAGTCCTCTGTACTGATATGAGCAATTGAAAACAAGCCTTGCTTTATTATTGTGGTGGACTAAGTGATGAGGGAGGTACCATGACTCAGTAGAGGAATCTACAATCTCAGGTGTCAATCTCTTTACATAGCCTGCAGTTTCCAGCTTCTGGATCTCTTGACAATATGTCATGGCTTGTTCAGTGTAATTTACGATCCTTCGCTCTGTACTTCGAAGCAGTGAAAGACAAGCGGATTTGGGTGCTTTTAGACAAGGACTGTCCTTCCGTCTGAGAAGTGGTGTGGCATATCTCATGATGCCATTTACATTCACCCTTACAGTGCGCTGCTCAAGCAAGTCAAATGCTTGCTGATCAAGCTTGGATCGGGTGGCGGCTTTCTCACTGATATAGGGCAAAGTGTCAATTTGCCACAATTTCTCCACATGCTTCTGAAGATCAAAGTGGGTAGGTTCAACTGCAGTAAAGAAACACTGCTGCTCATAAAAGGGGAGAGGAATCAAGCTGGCAGGACCTTGAAGTGTCCAACCAAGGGAAGTACATATTGCTATAGGTCCCCCAGAAGGGCCAACACAAACAGGCTGAGTAGGGATGAGCAAATGTGGAAAATCGGAACCAACCAGTAGTACAGGTCTCACTTTGTCAATTGCTGGGATTGGCAGCCCATGTAAGTGCCTGTACTTCTTCATCAGTACTTTCACTGGGTAACTATGCTCGGAAAGACCCAGGTCATCAGCTGTGAATGCATGATCTATCTTGTATCTATGTCTTGGATTGTCAGCTGGGGAAATTTCGAAAGAAACAGATGCCCCTTTCAGGTGAACAACCTCATGTCGTACAGTTCTCAGTGAGAGTGTTTCTGGTTCTTTCTGTAGCTGGAGATAATGTGCAGCGGAAGAAAGGAGGATAGTCCGCTCAGAACCATCGTCCAGCAAAGCATATGCCTCAAGTGAATGTTCGGCATTATGCAAAAGTACTTTGACCACCTTTAACATGACCTGTTGAGGACGGTTGGGACGGTCAAGATAAATGGTGTCTGGAGGGGTACTAACCATGAGAATCTTGTTGGGCTCCTGTATATTCACATCATGTAGTACTGTGAGATGCTGCTTCTGACATATATTACAGGGCTTCTTGAGGGTACAAGCCTCAGGTTTGTGATTGGCCAGGGAAGCGGTTATGGCCAGGGAAGCGGCCATGGTCAGGAAAGCGGCCAGGGTCAGGGTAACGGCCATGGAAGCGGTTATGGCCAGGGAAGCGGCCATGGTCAGGAAAGCGGCCAGGGTCAGGGTAACGGCCATGGAAGCGGTTATGGCCAGGGAAGCGGCCAGGACCAGGGTAGCAGTCAGGGCAGCGGCCAGGGTAGCGGTCAGGGCAGCGGCCGGGGCCAGGGAAGCGGTTATGGCCAGGGTAGCGGCCAGGGTAGCGGTCAGGGCAGTGGCCAGGGTAGCGGCCAGGGCCAGGGAAGTGGTCAGGGAAGTGGCCAGGGAAGCGTTATGGTCAGGGAAGCGGACATGGCCAGGGAAGCGGTTATGGCCAGGGAAGCGGCCAGGGCCAGGGAAGCGGTCAGGGAAGTGGTCAGGGCCAGGGCAGCGGTCAGGGAAGCGGCCAGGGTCAGGGTAGCGGCCATGGAAGTGGTCAAGGGAATGGTGAGGGATGTGGTCATTGACATGGTCATGGGAATTTTGCATAACATTTACTGGAGATCTTTTCAAATCGGTGCCTTATTCATATGGCACGTTTTCCCTGTTTGCTCAAAACAGTTTAGAAAGATTTTCTGTCTCTCTCCTCCCCCTCAAATAAAAAGAATTGCTTGAAGAGTTGGGGTGTTTTTGTTTTTTGTATCATTTGGCTTGTTTTCTCACAACTGCTTTCTGGCATCAGTGCTTCAATTTCCTGTCCCTGAGACCTGGAATTTAGAACATGATTAGCCCATTTTTACACAAAATATACCACTTTATATCAGGGGACTGAAGTGGCACCAAACGATAGAATGACTTCCTTTTGTTTTGTTTTTTTTGGTAAGCCTATAAATGCAATGGTCCGGATCTCATTCTGGGAACCGCAGTGTGTCATGCGGAGCAGTGCAGACCGATCGGCGAGAGTTGCAGCTTGCAGTCGGGGTCAAAATTGACCTATCGGCAAGCCCCTCCCTTCGAACGCAGATGCGACAATGGCTGTTGACTATCAGCTGCACGGGGGCTGGACATCAGACATCTTTAGGTTTCAGTGCCATAGAGAAACACTGGAAGATCCTAAGCTTTCATCGGTTTGATGGTGTTTATGCTACAAAAATGGAAAAACGATGTGCCTGAGGTACTTGTAACGCAGATTCCATGTATCCTGAGAGGATGGGCAATGGAATTTATTTTATTCAGTTTTCTAAACTCAAACAAAACGGAGCAAAATATCCGTAAGCATTCAACCCCAATCTCAATGAAGACGAAAAACGTTCATTTTCTGGTGGTCATATACTCTCATTAAGTTACCATTTTCATCTGCTCAAGCAGAATGTTAATGTCATCTTGTGCTGCAAGGTATCTCTGGCTAAAATTTGCTACCGTTAAAGTTAGTGAGTCCATGCTAATGTACCAACCTAAATAGCTAACTCTTCTCACCTCATGTACAGTGTACACAAACAAGGTCTACATTTCATTGCCTCTCCATATTCAACTGGTTACATGTAAATTAATTTAATCTTAACATGCTGTACATGAATCCTGGATGTTGTTCGTGACGACCATAACATGAGGCTTCTCCTGATTGCATTGTGATCCGTAAACCCTCGCTTCCAAATTAATCTTGTTACCCACCATATTTATTCGAAGATATTTTAGATATCCCTCCATGGCATATTTAAGTCCCACTTGAATGGTCCTTCTGTGTCCAAAATTGATCAAAAACCTCTTGGGACAAGGTTTTCACACTGACAGCTGTCATAGTAAGACAGTTAGCAACTCCGTTTGTTTGTCCGAGTAAGCAATTCTATATAGATTCTATAGATTCTATATTCAGTGTAAAATATGAGTATTTTCTTTGCAATAATTGTAGTTAAATACTGTTTATACTAGTTGGTGCAAATAGTGCCAGATATCTGCACCTCACTATTGTAGCACATTATAAAAGAGTATGCAATATAAATTATCATTTTTATTAAAATGATCAAATGCATGCCACTTTGGGACAATAACGACATCCCTACACTAACCCTAACCTTAACCAATAATCATCTGTGAGCCACCTTATTTTCCACTTTTCGAATATTTCCTTCATTTTTATTGAAAATAAATTCCTTTCCGACGTGAAAAGGGAGAAGAATGAGTTCGGCAAAAGGCGGATGCGAACTCGGGTAGATCACGTCAAAAAAATAACTGCTAAAATTATGCCCTTTATTACCTACTTCCACTGGAGTCGTCGTATGAAAGGTGTCTTTTGTAATCTTGTGTAACCCAACCACACGTTGGTGGGCGGAGTTAGTGTAAATAGTCTCTGCTATCTTCTCCTCCCATTTCTACCAGTAATGCTTGATGCAGCTTCCAGCGTCTGCTACTGGGTTGTAGGTTACCAGGTTGAGGTCACAAATGGGTTGAAATTTGTATGATGTGTCTGTAGAGGTGGAACCTCTGGATTGTTCTGATAGACCTTTGAAAACTGGCGACTCCGGTAAGAGAGTAAAGGGCTCAGAGAGTCACATCCAAGAAAGCTTTAATGAGTTGGGTTTATACAGGCCACTTTGGTGAGCATAAATGTATACAGGCAAAAGTATTGGGGTATTTGGGGTGTGTATGTGTGTGTGTGGTCTGAAATAGAGGAAAATTGTGTAAATGAGATATAAAATATTACAGCCTTTCTATTAACTTAGTACAGATGTTAAACATTTACATTCTGAACATAAACAGATAAATAATCATCAATGGTCTGAAATTCTCTTACAAATTCATAATTATGATAGTGTAGCATCTCAAACTATCTTAAAATGGCTAACAGATCAAGATTTATATTAAATAACAATGTACTATTGCACGTGAAACTAGCATGTTAGCTTCCTAACGTAGATAAACAAATAACATAATACTGTGCAAATATGCGCTTACAAGATTAACAACATCATCACAATAACATCAACATTATTGACATGCATGTTTCTGCTAGAGAATGCAAAATAAACTTACTTTTCTGCATGAATGCACACAACTTTAAAGTTCGGATGCTCACTCTGACCCAGCGCGTGTGGTGTATAAAACGCAGTGTCTTAAAGGGAAGGTGTATAGGTATCAGTAAGATGAAAGATATGCGCCCTCTAGTGGTAAAATATTAAAGTGAAACTAAAGGAAAAGACTTTCCTACATTGCCGCCCCCAAATTTAGTATCTAAATTTGTAATTATTTAGGAAAGTCTCAGTGTCAGTTACTATTTTCTTCCTCATCCTCCCACGATGGCAACTTAACTAACCGGGCAACAGGCCATAGATAAGTCACTTGCACTACTTGCACTTCTGCAGTGCGTATACGATTATCTACTCCTGCAAATGTTTTAGTCACTCTGCACAAAGCTCACAAAGCTCGGGGCAACTGTGGATCAACTATCATGACGATCTGTTCAGTACTCAGATTGGCAGTGTCCTTTTGCCATTTTTGGCAGGGCTGTAGACTTGGTAAGTAATGCCGGATAAACTGTACCCAAAAGTGATCGGCTAAAATTTGGCTGTGTCGCCACCGTCTTCTCCCTAACAGATCACTAGATGAGTAGATTGCTTGTGGGAGTGAGGCATCCCGACGACCCATCAGTAACAGATTCGGTGTGACAGGGTCTGGGTCGGCAACATCTGATGAAACGTAACCGAGTGGCTTAGAGTTGAGGATTCCCTCGACCTCTACCAACAAGACTGCTAAGACTGCTTCAGTCACTGTTCGATTGCCCAAGACTACCCGAAGAGCAGTTTTCACCGACCGCTCCCAGGGCTCCCAGGTTCCTCCAAAGTGTGGAGCATGTGGAGGGTTAAACTGGAAAGCAATTTCCTGGCCGGCTAGATGTTCTTCAAGTGGACCTTGTAACGATGCGAAGACTTCCTGGAGTTCAGTGGCTCCTCCTCTGAAGTTTGTGCCTCTATCAGCCAGTATCTCATATGGCTTACCACGACGTGATACAAGTCGTCTTAATGCCATTAGGAAGGCATCCGTGTCCATGCTCTCTAAAAGATCAAGATGTATGCAACTTGTTGTCATACATTTGAATATGATGCCCCAGCGCTTCTCTGTGCGTCTGCCTTAATAGTGAAAGGGCCAAAACAGTGTATACCAGTGGACCAGAAATGTGGTTTGTACAGTCTTAGTCGTGAGGGGGGCAAGTCAAGTCAAGTCAAGTCTGCTTTATTGTCACTGGGAAGCTGTCCCTCTGAGCTTGTCTTAACAGGTGTAGTTCAGCTGCTATGGCATCTGCTGCAGTCATGATAGCAGCCGCCCCGTGCAGGGACTGGTGAGTAGCCTTCAACAGTTCTTTCCAACTCTTAATATTGGAGATGTCAGGTTGAGACTTGACAAGACATGCATTTCCACAGAATGATTGATTTTTCAGCTCATCACGGTCATCAGGAGCTGCTAATTCAGGCAGGGATGGCCAGGTGTTGGGATGTTGATGGAGGAACAGTGGTCCTTGACTCCAGCGCAGAGATTTGCTCAACTCTAACAAAGTCTTCCCCCTAGTCAGGTTATCGGCTGGGTTATCGGTGGTATTGACATATCGCCAATTTGACCCTAAAGTCTTGTCCTGGATTTCAGCGATGTGTGTCCTGACGAAGACTTTGTAGTGACAGGAGTCTGATCTCAGCCAGCTCAGGACTGTTGTTGAATCGGTCCATAGAATAATATCACTTGCAGGAATAGACAGCTCTTTACTGAGCAACTTTGCCAGCTGTGCTCCTGTGAGAGCTGCACAAAGCTCCAAACGGGGCATTGATATCTGTTTGCGGGGAGCCACTCTGGACCTTGCCATCACAAAGGCTACATGGATCTGGTTTTGCTGATCTTGAGTGTGAAGGTAAGCGACCGATCCGTATGCCCGTTCAGAGGCATCACAGAAGATATGGATGGTTCTCTGTGTGCCTTCTGTGTCAGCATATGGTGGTATGTATGCTCTGGGTATCTCAACAGTGTGCAAATTGGCTAGTTCGGCCTCCCAGGCTTGCCATTGTACTAACAGGCTTTCCGGGGGGATGATGTCATCCCAACCAATCTTGAGTTTCCAGATATCTTGAATCAGTATTTTCGCTTTTGTTGTGAAGGGTATAAGATATCCAAGTGGGTCGTACTGTGTTGCCAGTACTTTGTACACGTTTCGTAGTGTGGGTTCAGAGTAGTCAACTTGGCGATGTTGGTATCCAAGGTGGTCAGTGAGACAATTCCAACGGAGACCTAAAGCTGGCTCTTGTGGGTCTGAACTGTGTTCCGAAAGCCACAGTTCAGTGCTGGCTGCTCTGGCTTCAACTGGAAGGTGTTCTACTCCAGCAGGTACATTACTGGCCCACTGGCGAATTTCAAACCCACCAGAAGACAAATGACTGCGCATCCTGTCGATGAGGTTACGGGCCTTCTCTGGGGAGTCAAGACTCTGCAAACAGTTATCAACATAGAATGCCTGTTCTACAGACCTTTGAACATCTTCGTAGCCTTCCCTGTTGTCTTTCACATGTCTTTGTAGCGCATATGTGGCACAACAAGGACTGCAGGTAGTCCCAAATGGGAGAACCTGCCACTCAAAGACACTTGGCTCTTCGTCCCTCTTCATGTCCCTCCAGAGGAAGCGTAACAGTGAGCGATCTT